AAAAAAAAAAAAAAAAAAATCACAAAAACACTAATATGTTCCTTTCAAATATCCCACTTTTAACATGTCTCAAATTGTGTATGTAGTGTGTCCCAAACATTATTTTCTGAAAATCTAATTTACACTTAAATGAATTAAAACTAACTACATTCCTATCTCCCTAACAAGCCTGTTCTACAGATTGGTCCGTCACACTGGCCTGATATATACAGGGATGGAGAAAGAGGACATGGTCATGCTTGGAAATGTCTTTCGGGAGTGTATTCCTAGAAAACACAAGGATGCTAAGGTTAAGATTCAACAAAAGTACCTATTATCATTCCTTACTTGTGCCCAGAACAGGAGGCCATCTGATCCTTGGCAACGGAAAGATTGAAGTCTTTAGATATTTTCACACCCAACAAGCAGCATAACACTTTTCATGTAACTGTGTAAAATGCCAGGGCTAAACTCAGTGCCCGATTCTCATGGAACCATCAAACATTTGTTATAGCCCAACATTGGGGAGGACTGAAGGAATGATCAGGGCACTGTTAAGGAATAGGTGGTATATAAATTGCAGGGATAAGCCAGAAATTTCTGGCCGCCAAAGATCAGCCAGACTTATTAGTGAGGACAGGCCACAAATCAGCAGAAAAGAGACCAAAGTTTTGATTGACAGAAATATTTTTAAGCCTTCTGGTCCACAAGCAGTGCTCTAAAACAGTACATCTCCTGTAGTGCTCACAGCTGCCACCTCCATTTCATGGCTGGGTTTCTGGGAAATTGAAAGAATTTTGCTGTTTTCCCAAAAAGAACTGACATCGCCAGTGAACAAGTAACAATGTACAAAATTAATCTGGCAACTTGGATAAAGTATTCCAATAATCCATTGTATAAACATTTCCTAATTCTTGTCACAATTCATAAACCTGCATACATGTCTACTAGAAATTAGGTTGCATGTGACAACTAGGACTTCATGAAAGAATCCCTACACAGTGTGGAAACAGGCCCTTCGGCCCAACAAGTCCACACCAACCCTCAGAACATCCCACCCAGACCCATTCCCCTATAACCCAGCTAATCTACACATCCCTGAACACGTCGGGCAATTCAGCATGGCCAATCCACCTAGCCTGCACATCTTTGGACTGTGGGAGGAAACCGGAGCACCCGGAGGAAACCCACGCAGACACAGGGAGAACATGCAAACTCCACACATACAGTCGCCCGACGGTGGAATCGAACCCAGGTCCCTGGTACTGTGAGGCAGCAGTGCTAACCACTGTACTACAGTGCCACCCTTTTTGTCCTTATAAAGGATAGATGCTGTGCTGGTGGATTTTCCAAATGCAATAATAGCAACACCCACTTCTACATGGAGACTACACATTTAATTTGATCAGTGGCTTCAAAACACTGTACACTGTAAATTCTACTTACTGTGAGTGAAAGACTCTTGCGAGGCTGCTGCTGTTGCTGCAGTGGCTGTGTCTGCTGTTGGGTCTGCTGCTGAGGCTGGGTCTGCTGCTGTACCGGTGTTGTTGGTGTTGTGGTGGTGACAGGTGCAGTACCTGCGGCAGTGGTTGTCGAGGTAGATGATGTAGTTGAGCTACTGTTATAAATTGGTGGTCTTTGTTTGAACTGGCCAGGTAGACCGGAGGTAGGTGCTGCTGATTCTTCTGGTAGTCTATTTGTCTGTAAAGCCTCCCGAACTGATCCAACTGTATTGGCTGCACAGGCATTGTGGAGGAGAGAACAGGGGAAGAAGAAAACTTTATACAAAATGCAAAGCCCACCACCTCCAATAATCTTATACTTACGTGCTATTAATACTTCTAGATTCTATAAAAAACAACTTTTGGTTAATCTTAGTTTTGAAAGAAATGTGATCCCATTATTCTCACTAATTGTGCAAGTTTTAAAGCCATTTTGATGCAAATTTTTAAAAAAAGGTATTTCATTACCATTACATTCTATTTCTTTCACACAATTTTATCTCCAACTGCAGACTCTGACATAGAATGGTACCAAAAGAAAAAGGCCATTGGCTCAACTGGTCTATCCTGGTATTTTTTATCCAGACCTCGTACTTACTGCAGAGAAGGTCTGTAGGGAACTTGGGGAAATAAATATTGATATCTTGAAAAGTGTCCATAATACAGAAGAGGGGGATGCTGAAGGTCTTAAAAATGTATAAACGTAGATAAATCCCTAGGACCTGATCAGGTGTTTCCCAGAACTTTGTGCAAAGCAAGGGAAGAGACTGCTGCCGGGAGACTGGAGGTTGGCAAATGTGATGCCAACCGCTAATTTAGAAAGGCTTATTTAAGAAAGGCTAAGGAAAAGCTAGGGGACTATGGCCCGCTGAGCCTTAATACTGATTCTCTTCAGTTCCTCACTCCCACTAGAACTTGTGTTCGTTGGACATTGTGAAGGCAAAACCAAGATATGCACTTAATTGGAGACAACAAGGTGCAGGGCTGGATGAACACAGCAGGCCAAGCAGCATCACAGGAGCAGAGAGGCTGACGTTTCGGGCCTAGACCCTTCATCAGAAAAGGGGGAGGGGAAGGGGGTTTTGAAATAAATAGGGAGAGAGTGGGAGGCGGATAGAAGAGGGATAGAGGAGAGGATAGGTGGAGAAGAAACAAACAGGTCGAAGAGGCGGGGATGGGGCCAGGAAAGGTGAGTGTAGGTAGGGAGTTAGGAAGGGGATAGGTCAGTCCAGGGAGGACGGACAGGTCAAGGGGGCGGGATGAGGTTGGTCGGTAGGAGATGGAGGTGCGGCTTGAGGTGGGAGGAGGGGATAGGTGGGAGGAAGAACAGGTTAGGGAGGCAGGGACGAGCTGGACTGGTTTTGGGATGCGGTGGGGGGAGGGGAGATTTTGAAACTTGTGAAATCCACATTGATACCATTGGGC